TGCCACTGGGGGCAACGTCGACGGAAACAAGCGCGGTATATACTAAAATTACGTGGTAGGGGTCGAAAAAGTGAACGGAAACATGAGATATATTATAAAATTACGTTATAGGGGCCAAAAAAGTGAACAGAAACGAGCGCGATATATACTAATATTACGTAATAGGGGCCAAGAAAGTTGATTGAAACAAGCGCTGTATATATTAAAATTACAGGATAAGGGTCGAGAAAGTGGACGGAAACAACCGAATTGAAAGTCATTTCCTCATTCAAAATACCAAAAAAAAGAATAAATAAATAGAGTAATTCATAGGTACATAAACTCACACACACAGCAAGCTATACTTTGTTACATAATATTACCAAAAATGTTTAAAAATAAAGCTTAAAACATGCGGTTATTTCTGGATTTTACAGGTGAAAAATCTTTGTTTAATTTTTCTCGTTTAAAAAAGTCCCCCGGTGAGACATAGGTAAATCTCAATACCTACAACGCTAAAATCCGGGGCTCGATTCCTCGCGGTGGTCATGGCAGATAGCCCAATGTGGCTTTGCTCTAAAACACTTTTTAAAAAGAGAAAATATAACATTATTTCAGTGAATGGAGAAAAAGTACATACATAGTTTATACACACATATATTAATATCACGTTATAAAAGCCAAGTATGTGGACGGAAACCTGCGCAACGTCTTCTGAGGTTATGTGATACTGGCCGTGAACAAGACGCGAACCTGGACATTCGGATTTACACACAGGCACACTAATCTAATCACGCCCGGTCCCTCGTTTTCTACCCCAATGTAACATCTGTACGTGTAAGTCGACGAAGGAAAGGGGTCATCTTTTGTCTTTAATCTAATGGCTTCGTTGAAGTAAGTCTTACTAATATCCTTTTCATTATGATCCAAGATGTGCAGTCTTGTACTTTCACGTTCATACGCCTAACCACCATTTTCCTTGTACCGGTAGCTAACACTATAGAGACTGACGAAACGAATTCCGTAAGAAAGAGTGGGTGAGCTGGAGATAGGGTAGGGGAACTGGTGTAGGGGGTTTAACGAGTTATTTAGTTCTCGAGACTTTCCGGTATCGAGTACTCCGCTTGAGCGCGTGTGCCTGAAACCAGTCCACCCATATAAGACAGAATGAAGACGTTTACTTCGTGTATATTTGTATTGTTCCATTCAGTTAACTGATGTATTTGCCCAAAGTTTTATCGCTTTCGACACACTCACTACCTTTTTTTAACAAGAAAGGAAAAGGACATCGTCTAGTCTTCGTCAGTTAGGAGGTAAGAAATATACATTAGATGTTTCAAACTTTCATGTCGTATACAAATTACAGAGCATGTGCACCCCCCTTTCATGCAGCTGCCATTGCGTTCCCTGGTCGTTCGCAGCGTTTAATTCTGCCAATTCCGGTGTTATATTGGAACACACTTGTGCCGTTGAAACCTACATTTGTGTTCACTGCTTTGTAGTGGTTGTTTAAGTTCAGTTAGGCTGCTTGCGATATAGAAAGATCTGCCCACAGACAGCTGAGAAAAGTTTCTGTCAACTGTTTCAGCGTTGTAGACCGACCGTCTCTGAATTCCAAGCAAAACATTGTAATGTATAAAAGTTTATTCCTTCGTTAATGATAGAGAGCCTATGAAATATTATATACTTTAGATATGCTAATTAGTGATAATCATAACAGTGTTACTTGACACTGCCCCATCGAACAGAGTGCCTTTTGTTACGAATGATTTCTGCTTTTAGTATCCGTTCCTATAAAACACCTGAAATTTCTTTAGATAGTGAGGAAGAAACTTATGAAGTATAAAACCTGCTTATATAATCATGTAGAGGATATTGATTGTAACTGTCAATAAATTAAGGTTTAAGAGTATCACAAAACATTTATTGCTGTCATGAAACACCTTCGAAACATTGTGTTGTTCTTCATCTCTTGCTTCTTGATAGGCATCCTTAAAAGTAACGTTAACAATGTTAAATTCTTTATCAAATTCGGCACAGGAAAAAATTAGGAGTTTAATTTTGTTCGGGAATTTATCTGTTGGTGTTTTTTTCTTTCTTCTTCTTCTAAAAATACATTTCACAAAGTATTAGCTTTTTATTCATACACTTTATAATTTCCGAGATATTGATTCATGAATATTCGTTATATATATATTTCTGTAAATTGAATATACATATATGTATACTCAACTTAAAGAAGTGTTATTCTAAACAGGATTTATGGCATATTTTACAGAACACACCATCTTTCTAATACTGGAACGTAACACGCAATATCATAACAATATTAATGAAAAATATCGAAACAATTAAAAAATACAGAGTTACTCTTTGGAATAATTGCAAATTTAAAAAGATGTTCTATAATTTGTAATAATAGTAAGAGTGTCCGAAGGCTCAGGAAGAGACTTCAATTGCGTAGAATATTTTAGAGTAATCTTTATTTAAAGTCAAGATATTTAAGTTTCAGTTTCTATTTTTCAGTGAAGCTTCGTTACCCCGAAATAATTTTTAACCTATGGACTTTAAAGACGTTCATTATCGTGAATGTTCTACTCCAACAGCTCAAATAATAACTATAAAATATATACTGACATGCATGGTGTTTGATATTTTAATATTCTGTCAGATATTATTATTAATATCTATAAGTTGCGAGGTAAGTGTTATATATACGCGCTTTATTTCGCGAGTAATTACAATTCTTTCGTCTTCAGCTATGGTGAGTTAAAGATACCTTCTACAATAGTTAGAAAATATTAGGCATTAATGATCCACGAGATAAAATTATAGAAATAGTTGTTGCGTCATCGAGGTCACGTGACTGGTGTGGCGCCCTCTATTTTCTAGAACTATCTTGTTTTTTTATGAATGCTCTAGTATTTACTAGATAGGGTAGGCGGGTATATATAAGAGGGGACAACGTGACGCGAGGTAACGTAATGTGTTTGTAGACAGTGAGTAATTGAACTGCAGTCAGAAGTATTATTGACGTTCGTTGTTATAGCGTTTGTTTAGCGCGATTGTTGAAGTTGAGTGTATTGGTAAAGTTATATTCGGAAATAATAAACCAGTTTTATTAAGAAAGGACTTGTGTCGCTTAAGTTTCGTCGGAACGAAGTTACGGAAAGTTAATTAACAAACGGAGACGTAACATTGTATTTTTCTGTTCTGTTGCGGAAAATTAAATGAAATTAATTTTAAAAAGGTAAAAGAATAGGAGCTGATAGAGTAGAGTTTTATTTCACTTTTGACTTCTTGTTAAGAAAGATTTTCAGTCAATGTCAGAATTAATATACAGAATATTTTGACAGTACAAGAGAACTCAGCTTTGGCAAGGAGGAATAATTTTGGTTAACAGAATGATGGACATAACACTAACACATCTACGTAAAGGCAACAACAAAATAACAAAAATATTTAAATAAGAATAACTGAAAGCAGAAAAACATTGTAATAACACCAAAGGACTCTCAAATAAAAAGGTATAAGTTTGTAATTAAGCACAAAGCTACACAATGGGCTATCTGTGCTCTGCCCACCACGGGTATCGAAAACCGGTTCTAGCGTTGTAAGTCCGCAGACATATCACTGTGCTACTGAGGGGCAAAGGTATAAGAACCAAACGAGCCTCATGTAATAAATCAGAAGAAAGTTATTATAACACCAAAACAGCCTGAATTAAAAAACAGAGGCAGAGCATTGTTATAACACAAAATGGTCCTGAAGTAAAAAAAAATCAGAACATTCCTACAATAATAAAGAATCGTAACTAAAAATATATAAGAAAATTATTATTATAGAATCAAAGGACTGAAATAAAAATATTACTTTATTATTCAACTTACGCTATTTCAAAAAGAGAGGTTTTTAATAGTCTTAGAATATCTGTTCTTGCTGTTTTGCTTTTTCCAATTAGCGGGCTTCCAGTGGCACAGCAGTATGTCTGCGGACTTACAACGCTAGAATCTGGCTTTCGATACCCGTGGTGGGCAGAGCACAGATAGCCCATTGTGTAGCTTTGTGCTTAATTACAAACCAATTAGCTGGCAGAAGTAATAAGATGTAGATGTGCATCACATGAAAAATTTCAAAACACAGCAGATTTACATTACTGAATAGAAGTAAATACAGTATTTTTGTTCCAGGACATAAAAAAGTGTTTAATGATGTCACTGATACAGAAGTTGCAAAAAACACCAGGAATTAGTTTAATATATTAGGGGGAAAGAGGGGGGGAGGGCTTCAAGACTTTTACACTGCATTAACTAGTGGGTGGGACTGGTGATGAAATTCGTAAAATCAACACAGTTTTTTGTTTATTCTGAAGAAATCCAACATGAAACATAAATCAATAAAGTGGGAGCCGTAAAATCAACACAGTTTTCTGTGACCTCGAAGAAATCCAACATGGCCATTGATAAAGAACTGTCTAGAACTTTTTGTTTTACGTGCAGTCTTCGACATGACGACGTACGATGGAGAATAGGATCTTTCGGTTTTGAAAAATTATTTCACAGACGGTTTTTAATCTTATCATAAATGTACATCTAAATAAAACAAGAAATAAAGAGCATGGCAGTTTCTGTCACTTTATATTGTAAGGATAAAACTGGCAATCAAGATATGTAGGTAAAAGAAAAACCGGATTCTCACTTCGAGACGTCAACCTATTCCTCTGGAAAACGTGTACTGCTCAGTACAGTCACATCTGACGTCATAGCGATGCCCTTGATAACATCGGTCATGTCCTTTCGTCTACAAATACTGTTTATTTAAGTAGTTTTTGTTGATTATTGGTGAAAGTTGGATACCTTAGGATATTATATATACATTTATATAACCGTTTTTCGTTGTATTCATCTTACATCACATGTCAGTATCTTTAAGAAATCAACCAACCCGTACAAGTTCGGAATTCTTAAAAATCAGTGGATGATGTCATGGTGCTACTTATTCACATACAACCTCCTTTACATATATATACATACATATATAGTTCGTTTAGATTATGAGACAATCGCATTCATATACAACCTCATTTACACACACACACACATATATATAGTTCGTTTAGATTATGAGACAATGGCGATTTTTTATTATTATTATGTAAGTTTTCGTTATATTTTTTATTTATTTCCATATAATCTTATATTTTAATATTTGGCTTTTCTCGAAGCTTCAAATAAAATATTTATATATATGTTATGGTATTTAAAATAATTCGTTTGTTTTTATCAAGCGCATAGCTACACAATAGGCTACCTGTGTGCTGCCTTCCTCGAGTATCGATATTTGATTTTTTGCGTTATCAGCCCTGAGCCATTAGGGGTTTAAACTGTAATTCACAAGTAGCTTCTTTTTATTCGTAAATCATCTATATGGATACATTATACATCAAAATGTTTTATCTACGTGAATACCTTACGTATCCATATTTTTTCTGCAATAGAGCACATTTTTTCACCCACATGGATACATTACTTATCCAAATATTATGCATTAGGGCACATTTTCACTGTGATAAATAGTGTGGACCATAGCAAATCCCACCCCTTGATAAATATACTACTTCTGTTGTATTTCATTTGGATTTTTGATAAGATAACAGTAGTAAACAGTTTGGCCATTTATAATGTTAGACTGGTTATGTGACCATGAAAGTACAGCTTATTCACGAAGAAACCTTGTTGTTACTTATAGTTTCATTTTTCTTTATTAGGGTGGGAAGCTTGCTATGGCTCACTGTGTGTGTATTGTTGCGTCATCGAGATCACGTGACAATTCTCACGCCCTCTTGTTTCTAGAACTATCCC